CAGGAATAAATTGGCGTAGGAAGATCACGCCTCACTTATCAATAGAATGTTTGACGACTCATTCGTTTCCTGTGAGTGACGGCCCCTTTATTCTCATGAATAGTAGCATGACCAAAGCCAACACCAGTGTGCACCGCCAAATTCCACATTCCGCTGCTTCTGGACAAGAAAGGAAACGGTCATAAATCTGGAAGCTTATCAGCCCACTGGCACACCACTAGGAGGGAAATGTCTGCTCCCAGAATTTGTCTGGCCCACTTCCGTGCGATCAGGAAGGTAACTTTTAGTCCTTGAAGATCGTTGGCTCGGTGCAGATGGCGAACGATGTAAAATCGTCAACTGTTTGGAAACGACATGGTTTAACGCGAACAGTTGTGTAATTACGAAATAATCGTTATGGACTCATGGCCCAGCGTCAACAACTCACAGCCTACATGTAAAGCTAAATGGAGTATCATAGTAGACCTCTTTCCTTCCATTTTCCATTTTTACATCCTGTTAATTAAAAGCTCAATTGCGAACTAATTATTAGAATAGTTAACAGGGTAGATTTCGGCAGATATTTTATCGAGATAGTACGGCCATGAACCTTTCGTCGATTATGCTAATTGAGTTTATTTGATCTCTGCTTTTAAGTCGATGCGCTTAATATTTTATCTGTGCAGTATTTTTTCCGCAGTGTAGTGGTGCAGAGGGATTTCTGCCATGCGCAGTTTATTTTATGCAAAATGCAGCTTATTGTTGGCTGATGCCTTTGATCTTGTAAAGGCAGTTGCGTGGTGTTTTGTCGTTTCAAACGTCTGTAATGAGTTCAAAGCTACCATTCGTTATTCTCTGAAAGATCGATTTAGGACAGACGAAAATAATTTCATGCTTTTTGGGGTGTCAGTTTGGGGCGAAAATTACGCGAAGTCTACGTTTCAAATTTAGAGTACATTGGCGATCTGGAATGCAACTGGGTGATTCGAGTCAGATCAGACAAGCAGATATTCATCAAGGTTTTGGAACTGGAACTGACGCCGAGCTGTGAGATTCTGCTCTTGTGAGTTTCTCTACGTCAGCTGTTAATTGTAGTTCAGTGTGAAGATGCGCAGCTGGAAGTGATCGATGGGTACGCGCATTTCATGCCGGGTGAAGAGGGCTCGTTGCCGCTGAGTCAGAGAATACGCTTCTGCGGCGAAAGCAAATACTACCGCGAGGAGGGCGAAAAGTCGTACATGTCTGACAGGAATCGAATCCAAATAAGGTACGTAAGCAGGCGGCAACGCAGCGCATTTGTATTCTTAGCAGTCAATGAAGCTGTAAGAATTTAGATTCAAAACTGCCAAAACTACTCCGTACCATATGAAGTACAAGCGACGGGAGTTCGGCTCAGCCATCGGCTTTTTCCTCGTCTGGACCGAAGTT